CTGGGTCAGCTGGTAGTGAAGTGCAATGAGACTCTATCACTGAATAGACAAATCATTTGTGCCAAATATACATCTGGAGTATTAAATGGCTAGATTTAAAATTGTTCATTTACTAAACACCTATGCAAGTTGTTACCTCAACTGTTACATACTTATACCTCATTAAAGATTGATGTGGTTAAGATACCTGAGTCTAGCTTTTTCTAATTTCAAAGACTATTTTTGAGACACACATTTAGCACCTAATTTTAATGGGATTTAAAAAAACTCAAACTATGTTGTTTGTAATGGTATAGTTGCTTGTACGTACTTCAGTGTAAAAATATACAAATAATGACTTAGCCCTTTACTTTTTAATCCCTTAAAACTAACACCCATGGGGGGAGGTTTGGGGGGGGATTTGTAAAATCTGTAGTCATTTTACACTAAATTTTGCTGTAAACTTGAAACTGCTCTTAAAGTCTTAAAATACCAACAACTAAAACCTTAAATAATGAACAAACTTAGATTTCTTACTATATATCTTAAATCTCAACTTGGACTTCTACATTCTGCTTAGTTGATCTAACAAAAAAACAACGTGTTTTGGTTGTAAAAGAATTTACTAAAGGCACTATTGTTAAACATCAAACTAATTTGTTACCAATAAGGTACATCATTGTAAATGTAACAATTTCAAGAGGTACAGGGCTAGTAGGCAAACAATACAGTTTTTTTCCTTAAGTAACAGCTTTCCTATTTATAAGATCATATCCTTTCCAGCCATTCCAGGGACACACAGTGATGCCATTGCTCCACCTGTGACCTGGGAAGGAAGCTTGGAGCTTATAATCTGAGATCACTACTGCCCAAGATCTTATAAAGCTCCAGGATTCTTCACTCATAGGGGTCAATTCTAAAATTCCTGGGTTTAGAAATCACAACACTTCCTACCAAAGCACACAAAAAAGGTATAGACTCAAAACCCCCAAGGCATTAGCTGGAGGATACAAGCCCTGACCACACGTCCAAGCATGAACTGGTGAGCTCTGCTGCTAGCACAGCATCGCAGAAAATGGAGAAATTATTCAAAGGTGGCTATTGAACATTAGCACCATGATAAACACAGCTCACACAACTAAAAGCTAGATTGATTTTGCCACAATGTAACATTCATATCTCTAATGCTGAAAGAGCAGCTTTTTACTAACAAATGATCTAGGTACAGAAGTCATAGGTTTCCCTTTGTATGAGAAAAAAGTTAAAATACAAACTAAACAGCATCCCAGAGGCAATAAAATCTTATTGTGCTAAAGCATATACAAATTAAGGCTTGACCTTGGTACAAAAACAATTTTGAAATTATGTTGGAACATTGCCACCAAATCATATACATATAAACATTCAAGCAGTTCCTTAAGGAATCAGTAGTGGGGC